TAGAATAAAAAAAAATATATTCAATAAAATTCTGGTAACTGTACCAATGAACAATTTACCTATTAGGTGTTGCTGTGCAGCTGTTGGATCTGTGCTAGATACAATTTTTCTTAACGAACCCAAATCCTTTTTAAGCTGCGCATTTTCCATTTCTAATTCCTGAAGCTAAAGAGAAAAAATTCACCATATAAATAATTATAATTAATCATTAAACAAATATTTATAACATCCAATTAATTTTATTTGTAAAACATAAAACATTTTAAATACCCTGAAGGTATCTTGTGTCCTTGAAGTTTCTTCGGGATTATCGTGTTCCAAATCTTCCACCATTCGAATCAATCGTCCATTTTCTTTTTCAACGTCCTTCAATTTTTGTTGAAGTTTTAATACCAAATTAATGTCTACAGGTGCATGGGCTGGTCCATTAGTTGTTTCTGAATGTAATTTATTGGGTTGTACTTCACCGTCAGGTGGACTATTCGAACGTTGTTGGTTCCAATCAATAGTTTCCACCCGTGAATATGGCGTTGATGATGATGCCGTTGATCGTACGGATCCGTAACCAAAATCCTTCGTATAGAAAAACAATAAATAATACGTAAATGAAATTTGTTAGATCTTGGTTTTTTTTTTTTATACGATTGCAGGTAAATTCAATGATCGTAATAACGCGTATAAATAAGATAATATATTTTACAATATTCTGATCATCCTGTGGTAACTCCGTTGAAACAACTTGTCCACTGCTACTGGATGCATTGCTCAATGAACGAGAATGTCCTGGTACGTGAAGTGCAAGTTTCTGTTCCAACATCTCAGCGTGTTGCTCCAATTCATGGAATTCTTTCAACAATTTTTGATAAGCACCACGATCTTGATCTTGATCCAACAAAAGTAAATCCTTTTCCTGTTCCAAACGATGCTTAAGATTTTCTTCGGCACCCCGTAAATTACTTTTCAATATATCATTAGCCACTGAAAGTTCTTTTCGCAATTTTTCATTTTCCTCCAACAGCTTAATGTTCTCCTGACCTTTTTCTTCCGTGATTTTCTCTTTATCCTATAGAACAACAAGAACTTAGGATACAAAATAAGATTATATAAAAGAATGTATATATGTGGAATTAAATACGATTATTTTTATACGCGTATTATTATTATTATTATTTAATTTGGAATGATTTATTTTTTATAAATTTACCTGCAAAATATCCATCTTTTCATCTCTCTCTTGTTTCAATAGATTTTGAACCTTTTCTAATTCCTTTTCTTTCAACAATAAAATACCATTTAACTTTTTATTCTCTGCTTCTACGGGTTTAAGTATTTCCAATTTATTCTTCAAATCAAATACTTCATTATGTACGTTCTTTAAGTTATGATTTTCTTTAGCCTAAAATAATCATCATAATGGGTTATTCCGAATATATATATACATATTTATTATACAATTAAAATAATAACAACAAATATAAAAAGATAACATACAAGATCATTTATCTTCTGTTGTAATGTTATAATCTTTTTCTCAAGACCTTTGTTAAGTGACTTAACATGTTCAACACTTCTAGCTTCTGCTTTAAGCCTTCTAAAGACTTTCTTAGCCATGTGTCTTCTAATGCAGGATTGAACTATAACGATATCCTTCAATTTCTTTTTACACGCCATTCTGACTAGATATCCTCTCGCGAATCGTTGTATGATCGTTGCAGCCGCGTTGTCCTTCATCAAACGATACCTCTCTCTTGCCATTTTACCTCTACCATAAATCTGAATACCAATAATTGTGCGTCTTATTCGCTGATAGCATCGTCTCTTTAACCAACCCCTGACATTGGCTTGAATTTTAATCGCAGCTCTCTCGCGTCTGATCCTTTCGGCCCTTTGCCTTGCCAAAAATCCTCTGCCGTATCTTTGGAGACCTAAAATAGCTCTTCGTATTTTCTTATACCTAAGTTGACATATTAAACCACGAACAGTCTTTTGAATCATTATACACGCGTTCATTTGCTTCTCTGCTCTTAATTTTTCAAGATAAGCCACTTGTCCGGCACGAAACAATACTTTTGTTTTACCAAACTTGAACTTATCTTCGTCCTTGATATACCTGTGATCGAATAATATGATGAAAATAATTTTAGAATTTTTTTTCTTTTTCTTATGTTCAAATTTAGATCACTGACCTGGACAATATACGACGACAAGTTTCTTTAAGATCGTCCCGTTTGATTTCTTTGAAAACGCACAGGCATCTGTATCTTTGAAAGAATTCGGAATACGTTCTCTGACTTGGAAAACCAGCAGCAGAAATTCTAATCGTTTCAAGCACACCGCATGCTCGTAATTGTTGTACAGCACGTATTGGATTATATTCGAATGATTCCTTTGTATCGTTTGGCTTGATGCAACGAACGTAATGCGGTGTCGTTGCATTTAACGTTGACATTAACATATTTAAAGAATCTCGAAATTGGGAACCAACCTTGAAAGAAAATTATATATGAGGGAATTTATATATTATATATTATTATTTTGTTTTAATTAATATATGAGACCACATAATTTTTGTTTACCGTTTTTTTATTTTGCTTGGGAGTTATTACTGGTTTTTGTGCGGACACTTTGACCCTCGTGTTTGGTACAACCAATTTTGGATCCTCGTCGCAAAATAATTTCTTCAATAATTTATTCTAAACAAAAATAAAAATATAATGTAATAAATAATTGCTCGTAAGAAAAGAAATTTTATTTTTAAACTTACATCACCAGCCCTTAAAACGTCTACTTGTTCCTCAATTACAGTATCTCTGTTCTTTTCAAGAAAACCTAATGTCTCGTATTGAACCAACCCAGCAAAATGGTGAATCAAAAAAGCGGAAGTACCAAATCGTGGCTTCTCGAAATGTTTAGATTTGTTACATTTTGCATAAAGTTTATCGGCCCACGAGCTGTCCGTTCCTTTTGGCATCTGTGAATAATAATTATTGGTTAATTAACAAATTATATAAAAATATCATAATACAATTTGTGCAAACGAACAAACGACAACCTGCTTGAGAATATTTCAATAAAATATCGTTACATTGACGTTTGATTTTTGAAATAAAATGAATCATCCTTACCCGACACTCTTCGTCCAATAAATCCAATATGCCCAATCTCGTTTCGATTAGATCAATGCACGGTTGGTTATCGTAAAAATCTATAAAGGTCCATTCGATTTCTTCCTTCAGATATTCTTCTTGTTCGAGCTTAAATACGTGCTGATTAAATTGTTGCTGTAACTTTTCATTAGCGTAATTAATACAAAATTGTTCGAACGAATTGACCTCGAACGTTTCGAATCCATAAATGTCCAATACACCGATAAAACACTGAGCTTTCGTTTGTGATTGTAGAGAATTATTGATACCATTTACTATCCAATTAAATAATTCGGCATAAATGTGTTTAGCCAAAGCATCCCTAGCTCCAATCGCTTGTTCAGCATTCATTGGTTTTAAAAATACTTCCCTCATTGATACGATTTTCCTATGACAAAGCCATTTTCTCATAGCGTTCACATCGGTACCGAGTAATTCCGATATTATTAATAGATTTTTATCATTTGGCTAAAAATAATTCAACAAATTTATTTCATTGATTAATTATCGTATTACAATTAAAATCAATTATAAATATATAATCAAATTAATTTAATTAATTTAAGTCGAATAAATAATATATATATATATATATAAATACAATATTAAATATATACAATTGAAAGAGTTGACACATTTAAATTTGCAATTTGTTTTTTTCATATTAAAAAAACTTACAGAAATAAAACTAGCTTCGGTATCGTCGTCGCGATTATCGCTCTGTCCGTCATAGCTATTAATATTAACGTTTCCTAAATGCAATATGGCTGCTAATATTCTTAACATATCGTCCTGTTGTTTCGATGTAAAACCAAGCATCGTAAGTGCACTAATGGTATCATCGAAACACGTTAGATCGTTGACACCTTCGATTTTAGGATTGTTTCCTTGATTTAGATAATGAAAACCCATTGAGTTTCCAAGATGTAAATGTGGAAGACGCTTCGCTGCCGAGCACATTTGATAAAATATATGATAATTCCTCTCTTCGTTTGCCTGAACGATATAATTAACATAATATGAAGAATCTTATTTGTATTTAATTAAAATGAATTTTTTTTTCTTTTCTTTTCTTTTCTTTTTTTTTCTTTTCAAGACTATCCCTGAAACTATCTTTTTTTTTTTTATATGTGTATATATATTTTATTTTATTTTGATTATATACCTGAAACACGACTCTTGATTTTTCCAAAAGATAAGTTCTCATACTGGCACCGGTTATATTATAAGTTTTATTAAATTGTATCTCTATGAATTTGCCAAATCTCGATGAATTATCGTTCCTAGTTGTTTTAGCATTACCGATAGCTTCCATGATCGGCGAAGAAGCTAAAACTTTTTTTTCAATTTGCGTTTCAGTCGTGGAACCACCGACAGTAGCGAAATATCGCATGGTGTATTTGGCTGAAACGGTTTTACCCGCACCCGATTCACCCGACACGATGATCGATTGATCGTGACCTTCCCTAAAATTTGTCATTAAATCAAATTCATGATTAATACACGTGTTTTAATGGATAATTAAAAAAAAAAGGTATAACTTCACGGAATTATATTTATGAAATAAATAAAAATACCTTTCCAATTTAGTGTAAGCTTCTTCAGCAACAGCGAATATATGGGGTTCCAAATCCCCCATAGCTTGACCTCTGTACGCCCATATCGTATCATTCCCATAAATAGGTAATTCATTGTAGGGATTAAAGGCAACCAAAACGATACCGCAATATGTATAAATGCAATGCCTTTGAAAACGTATTTGTAGATTGTATAGAACAGCTGGTTCGTGAAGGAACGACAAAGATGTTAAATTATTTTCTCCCATCAATATGTCTGGATTTCTTAACGGTGGTAAATCGTCGTCGCATTTTATCTCTAAGGTTTTCGTCTGATTCGAGTCGTCTGTGTGTACCTTTAATGTTGACCGATTTACTTTGTAATCCTCTAAGAGGATTGCACCCTCCCAAATTTTGTCCGGATGCGGTACCCATACTTTGCCACCCTAAATCAATCATATTACATTAATTAATATTTTAATTATTCATTTATATTATATATTATATTATATTATAGAATATTTTTTTTCTTTTTTATTTCTATTACTTTATATATATATATTCAAATTTGGTATAATTTTTCAACGTAAAATTATTTCTATTTGTACCATTCTTTCTTTCTTTTTTGTTTCGTATTTTTTCAAATGAACAAAAGTGAAAGAACATTTTTATATATAAATATTATTTCTATATTTAAACTCTTAGTGTTTTATTTATAATGTTTATTTCCATAGAGATAAAGTATCATATAATTTACTCTAATTATATTCTATACAAAATTTCATTTAAATTAATTAAATCTTTCGTGAGTTATTTAAAACATACTTATTATACAATCTAATAATTTAAATAATTATCTTAATTATATTTTCCGAACAAAAAAGATACTTCTTTATCATTCATTTTCATATATTTTAATCATCGATATGTAATACCACGTGTACGATAAAACGGTACCTTAGATTCAAATAAAATAACACGATCATGGAAATGGTAGTTCGACGACACACCTTGCATTGATTGATTGCAAGCTAATTTTCCTTTCACAAGGTGCCCTACATTTACACACACACACACACACATACACACGCACGTATACATACACACACGAAGCAGAGCCGCGTTACGACGAACGAGGTCGACTACTGGAATCATATCGATTCATTCGACTCGTGGCTTGAAAAAAAACAAAAAGGAAAAAGCAAAAAAAACAAAAAAGAAACAAAACAAATAGGTGACAACTCGTTCCCTTTCTAATTAATATTTTCTTTATCTTACACATTAACGAAATTATTAAATCATATATACATATAAATGTAACTCTTGATAACACGTTATCCTATTTTCCAACCACATAGTTAATTACAAAGTTACACGCGTTCGATACAGTTTATTAATACGTAAAACATAATAAACGTTATCACAAAAGTAATATTCTTAAAATGAACGTTTACTGTGTACTTTCGATGCAATAACCATCATCTGATCAAACAAACCACCGAACAAACATCGTCATTTTATAAGAAGTAAAAAATAAGTTTGATGTGTGGTATACGAAAAAAAAAAAAAAAGAAATAAGAACACACATACATATGTATACTGATGCACGTAGATATACACGTGTATACACGCACGCGTACAGAGAAATACAACCACACCTTTATAAGGTTTGATTTTCCTGAGAAACCGAAGTGTTTCACTGTTTTAAAATTCAGCTAACGGTTTTTGACGAAAAAAAACGTCCAAGTAAACATTTCAATTTGTTTTCACATCACGAGGGAGGTATCGACAAAAAAAATACATTATACTTACTTACATACTATATATATATATGTGAATTACCGTTTAAACGGAATACTGTAACATGTACGAGAAGTAAAGGAATGTCGTGCAACGGTAAAACACGCTTTTTTTTTTTGTTTTATTTTGTCATATTTTACTCCACCTTCGCTTCATAGAAGAAGACCTTTGCGTTTGAATTAATCGGTGCGTGGAATTTAACGACCATAAAATTGTAAGTTCAAAAGATTAAACTTCCAAGACAATGATAATCGGCAAGATTTAATCGTTTGTAATTAAATTCCGATTAGATTGCCATATTATATATATATATTCTTATTTTATATTAATTATAAATGAAATTTGTTGTTCTATTAAAAAAAAAAAATATATTAAAACAATATTAAAACAATATTAAAACAAAAATGAACGAAATATTAAACGTTAAAAGCGTTGTGTTCTATAATCCAATTTTTAATAATTCTACGAAGATATTTTTATATTCGTTTTTATATAATATTTAAATAAAAAAAAAAACATTAAATAAAATAATAAATGCGCCGTGTTGTTTTAATCTATCGTATATATTCTGAATAAAAAATTTCTTTTTTTTTTTTATTCATTTTACACGCATAATTTTCAAATAAATATAATAAATTCTGTTGTTATATAATTTCGAGAACATTTAATTATACATTATTTTTGATTCAAATCAAAAAATTTATAAGATAATGAACGTTTGTGTAATAAAGTGTAGGTAACATGAAACATTAATTTATCTTTCATCTTACACGCGACAGATGAATAAAATAAGAATGATAAATGCTATGTAAACACCATAATACGAGTAGACTTATGTTAGCGTGAAACTATATTACCCATATAAATACATAATGAAGAAACATCGTATTATACTTCGAACATATCTACCGTAAGCAAACTGTAACATGTTGCACTGACTGGCAACTAATTTTATGGTTAACGTAGCATAACACGAAAGCGTAAGAAAAAAAATTCGAATTAACGAAAGTGCAAGTGCGTCACACTATATTTTCTTCTCTATGATACCATGCTGAATGATTAAACGCCATTGATAAAGTAATTATTGTAGTATCTTATCTTATTTTGCTTTGGTTTATGATTGCTAGCATTACGTCATCGTGTATTCGTTACAAATGTATTTTATCAATCTCAATAAAAATTATCGAGTGTAACCAAAATTTTTATTGCGAAATATAATAATTCTTATAAACACTATGGGAAAATAATGATTAATAAGCAAATCACGAAACGTTTAATGTCCTCAATAAATGAAAAAATAAAGATCAGTATATTATAATTTTAATACAACAATACGTACTGATATTCAAATAAAAAAAAAATATATATATATATATATATATATATATGTATATATGCAGGTAGATATATATACATAGTAATAGACTTTTGTTGGTATCGCATACTCGATTTTCTTATCTGTAACTTTCTCTTAAAGCGGTTTACATTTACATAACGGGGTTCGCACGACTGGAATAGTTCTTCTTAAAATGTCACATATTATTAGATTCGTGTTTTGAAACGTTACAATATCGATTAATACGTCATAAATATCTATCATATGTGTTACATGGTATTTATATATATATATTATTAGATATCAAAATATTATTATTATTATTATTATTATATTTTGTTTCACATTAAAAATTCATTCCTAACGAATCATGTTACTTCAATAAAATATATTATTGATAATAAATGTGTATATAGGCAAAAAGAAAAAAAATAAATAATCGAAGAAAATTGTAAAGTTTTTAAATAAAAAAAAGTATACACTCGTATAAAACACAAAAGAGCTGCAATTTCTTCGTCAAGGAGACGAATTGTACAATCCATTCGTGAACTCATGACCTAAGAAGAAGGAGTGTCCGTCACGAGATGGAAGAATCCTTGGTGTAGTAGTAGTAGTAATAATAGTAGTAGTAGTAGTAATAGTAGTAGAAGAAGTATCGACCATTTCTTTCTACCTTTCCTCTATCCACGTTTTACAATTCGTCTCTCGTACTTGAGATCAGGTTGTTTGTTTCATCGTTCATCAAATAAATCAACTAATGTCACAAACTTTATGGATAGATTTATGTACCCTTTATTCTTTTTATATTTTTTCTTTTTTCTTTTTTCTTTTTTACCTTTTCATCTATTATCTGTTCTATTTTTTACAATTCACACGAAAAAAATATAAAAAAAGAAATAAACTATTCGACATGAATACGTTGAATAACAATTAACAAATTTTGGAATCATCGTTTTAAAATGAATACAATTGATTATTGTGTAAAATAAATAGTTCTGATGTATCACACAAGTTTTCACTTTTTTATCGTTTTCTCATTAAACATGCATAAAATTCTCACAGTGATTTTTAAACGTTAATATATCTAAACGGACCTGTTCTCATGATGCTTTCTATGATTAACACATAAACTATATTTTCACGCGACTTGGTAAACGAGATTATTATTGTTAGAGTCTCATGAGCTAGTGGAAAATAAAAAAGAAAAGTATATAGCGTGGAAGTATAACGTTCCCACGAGACTCCTTTCATCGAGAATGTCCAACTTCACAACGATATACTATGATATATACCATAATCAAAGTATTGTCCATTGGAACATTTCAATGTTCGTTTAAAACACGATTTTTTATTCACAATTTTTATTTCTATTTTGAAGTTATGAAAATTTATATATGAAATAATGATTATTTAAAAAGAAACAAAAGAAAAAATGTAATTGAATAATTATTAAACATACTACTATACCAATTATGTTTATATGTATAAAGTGTATTTTAATTAAATGAAATATTTTGTTTGTTATCATTATTCGTATATTTTAAAATTAGTATAGAGTTAAAAACAAAAATGAAATTGAATAATTATGAAAGTATAAATTAAAAAAAAAAAAGAAACAGCAATATGTTATTTAATTTAATATTTATAAAATATATATAAAGAGAAAAAGAAACAATTACATATTTGTTCTAATAGTTTGAATAGATTTTGAAAAAAAAGTAATTGGTGTTCTGATTGAAAAACACGGTCAATGCTCTTAAACTTTCTTTATAGTTGAAACGAACGATGAGAGCTTATTCCAGACTTGTGTTACGAAACGATGAAAAGTTAATGAACGTAAATTCTCTTTCTCTCCTTCTTTCACTTCCTTTCGTATATTTATATTTAAGGTAAATGTATAAAGAGAGAAAAAAGAAAAATAGAAAGAGAGAGATTTCACGCTTGTCAGAATGCAATTCTCTCTCTTTCTCTCTCTTTCTGTATAACTATATATATCTGTTTTGTTTTAAGGGTATATATTACAAGGAACTGTCTCTAATTTGTCGCACGAGTTACATCGTAAACCGCAAATGCTGCAAGTAAGCTAAAAACTAGATGAAATTCTGTAATACTTGAATCGGATAAAAGAACAATCGCGAGAAGAATAAGGAAATTCAAAAGTACTTACTTGTATTTCTATGATTGTTCCCTATATAGAATTTATTTTTCTTATTTTGAACACACGTCCAATGAACTCTTTATAATTCATTTTTCAAAATCTTTACAAATATGTTTTCAATTCACATTTAGTAAAAAAAAAAAACAGAAACA